TAAAAAGGTAGTAATTATGGGAAAAATGAAATTCAGAGGGTTGGGAAAAGAAAACAGGTAACACGGGTAGGAAGTGATGGGATTTCATGAATGGAAACAAAATTGCATGAATTGTTGAATGTAAAACTGAATATCTACTCTGTTAACCTTATCTTAATTAAAAATAAACAGTTAAAAAAATAAGACTGTTAGTCCTAACATCAGGATAATTTTTTAAACATGGCACTAAAAAGTACCTGTCTCCTTTTTTTAAGTCAACCCAGTGAGACTACGGCATTCTGGAGGGAACTTGTTTGTGGCCATCCAGTGATCACAAAGATATGTTTACACACGTTTTGCTTAGAACAAACTTGTACATGTATGAACTGGAATTCAGGTAGCAATACTTTTTGACTTATCACCATTTCTCCTTGATTTATCAAACTATATAAAGGGATTGGATCCTGTATCTTGAATTCATATACATAACGATGGCCAACATTAAATCTTGATTCACTGACAAAGCAGGTGGTTAACCACAGGGCAGGATTGCTCCTTTCTCCTCTCCCCGTCTCACCTTCAAGGGCAGCAGCCCTCTTTTCTCGTTCTTCCTCTTCAGCTCTCTCTTGCAGTTTTTTCTTATAGGCAGATGTTACAAACGCCTCTTTATCATCAAATTCTCCCTTCTCCATTTCTCGTTCTCTCTGAATTTTCTTTTCCATTCTTTTCTCCTGCTCCTTTTTCCTGATTTCAACTGCTTTTAATAAGTTGTGAATGTACTTGGGCTATGGAGAGAAAATTTTTTTGTTGTTTAGAAAAGAGTAAGAAGTACATAATAATATTCTTTCATGGCTTTTCATCATGAAATCACTAGATGGAAATGGCTAGTCCAAATAGGTAGGGTTGACTAACTAAACTGAAATTCATATTGCTTTAAATAAAAACTTAAGCATAGAGATAGAAATCATTCATAATGTGATTTTACTTCTTACACTTTAAGTTTTCCTCATCTGATTTTACTGATATTCCTTAAATACTGCAACAAATAAGTGAACCGATAGAAAAGTCTAATTTTTCAATTAGTGAAAATAAGATTATTTAAAATAGTAGCTATAATTTTATACACCACTCTACTAAATATTAAAACACTTAAAATCAGTCTGTGCTTATGAAAAGTATAAGAATGATAGTAAATTTGAACTACTTTCAATCGCCCCCAAATTTATTTCAAACTAAAATGTGATCATGATAATTCAGTTAACAGCTAGAAACTACTACTGGGGTAACAAAAAGGGTGAGGAGGAGAAAGAATACTAAAACAAAAACAGGAGCAGTAAAGATTTTGTGAATAAAAATTTCTAAGAAAATATTTAAAATGCTTATAAAGCTTTCTAAGCAAACAACACTTATGAAGCTGTTAGAAAATTCACTTGCTTCTGTTAGATTTCACATGTAGAATCTATCATATGTATCTAGGACCAGGGTCTCTTCACAGTTCAAATACCTAAAATACTCAGATCATTCTCATGCTGAAATAAGATTCAAAATGCAGGTCAAAGTCAAATAAAGTTTAAATTTTCACTTACAAACCTTTCGATCTTTTCCCAAAAGTAATTTGGGATTATTTTCTTCCTTTTTTTTCTGCATTTCATCATAAATACTGTCATATTCATACACAGTAGCATCTTCTGCAAGGGCCTTTTGGATTTCCAGTTTGGTCTTAAAAAAAAAAATTAAACATGCTTCCTAAGTACATTGGCTAGTAGATACTACAAAACACCCAAGCAATTGTTTTTGGAGGGGGGGGCTCATAAAATGGAAATTCATTATGAAGAGACTAGCAATCAGCAGGCAGACATCGGGCCTTGACTGAAGTACTCCCTCAATGCAAGGATACTTTGTTCTACTAACCTGGCACTCTGTGATGCTCACCTTCTCTGATATGATCGCTGAAGACAAATGGGTGCATAAGCAAATGTGGTGAAGAAAGCTAATGGTGTCCAGCTATCAAAAGATATAGCGTCTGGGGTCTTAAAGGCTTGAATGTAAACAAGCGGCCATCTAGCTAAGGAGCAACAAAGGAGCACGCAAGTCTGTGTGATCATGAGGTGTCGATGGGATCAGGTATCAGGCATCAAAGACCCACAAAAAAAGCAAAAACCCAAAAATCATATCGATGTGAATGAGGGGAGAGCAGAGTGGAGACCCAAAGCCCATCAGTAATCAATTGAACATCTCCTGTCAGAAGGGCCATAAGAGACAAGCCGAGCCAGTAAGGGTGCAGTATAGCACCGAAGAAACACACAACTCTCCTCTAGTTCTTTAATGCTCCCCCTCCCACCCC